TCGTTACTCAGGGACACAGAATCGTTACTCAGGGACACAGAATCGTTACTCAAGGACACAGAATGTTACTCAGGGACACAGAATCGTTACTCAGGGACAGACACAGAATCGTTACTCAGGGACACAGAATCGTTACTCAGGGACACAGAATCGTTACTCAGGGACACAGAATTGTTACTCAGGGACACAGAATCGTTACTCAGGGACACAGAATTGTTACTCAGGGACACAGAATTGTTACTCAGGGACACAGAATCGTTACTCAGGGACACAGAATTGTTACTCAGGGACACAGAATCGTTACTCAGGGACACAGAATTGTTACTCAGGGACACAGAATCGTTACTCAGGGACACAGAATCGTTACTCAGGGACACAGAATCGTTACTCAGGGACACAGAATCGTTACTCAGGGACACAGAATCGTTACTCAGGGACACAGAATTGTTACTCAGGGACACAGAATCGTTACTCAGGGACACAGAATCGTTACTCAGGGACACAGAATCGTTACTCAGGGACACAGAATCGTTACTCAGGGACACAGAATTGTTACTCAGGGACACAGAATCGTTACTTTCTGCTTCACAACCACTATTGTACGTTCAAAGAGTTAAATCCTGTTTTATGTTTGGGGTGCTTATTGAATTAAAGAGTATGTCAGACAACACGCAGAGGAGTGGCAGAGGAGGCAATGTTTCAGGAGCGAGCAGACGTGGCAGCAGAGGAAGGGGTCGAGGCAGCACTAGTCGCAGCCAGAGGCCAGTGCTCCCAGTGTCATCCAGCGGTCGTGTCTCCACCGACAACCCTGCCGTCATCGATTGGTTGACTCGGTCGTCTTCCTCTTCCCAGGTCACCTCTGACACCTACAGCCAACGGTCGGTGGGTACGTCAGACACAACCGTTAGTTGGCATGGCCCGGGAGCAAGCCCACTGAAATCACGTGTCCTCTACCTGCCCCTGTCCTTTGGTGTTCCCTCACCAAGCGAAGTATCGCATGCTGTGGGCTCAGCCCCACTGTACAGTGAGGAAGAGCTAACAGAGGGCGGTCAGGAACGGGGGGAGACATCCGCCTCTTCAGCAGCCAGGCGAAGAAGTACTGGCGAGGAGAGTGGCTCGGTAGCCGGTCTAGAGACAGGTCTGTCTCCTGACCCACACGCAGCCGAGGGGGCTAGTAGTGACGCGGAGACCCTAATTGATGATGATGAGGCTGATCGCACTTGGCAGCCTCGTCGTCATCAGGCTATTGCTTCCGCATCATCAGGAGAAGAGGGTGCCAGCTTGCCAGCGAGCAAAACAGTCGGTGGGTTGCCCAGGAGGCAGCAGGGTCGCAGCAGTGTCAGTGGAGGCAAACGGCCACGGAGTAGAGCACCAGCTCCACTGCAGCCTACCACCACGGCCAGTAGTGGTGCCGGTGTGCACGGAGGAAGTAGCAGTCAGCCAGTGAGGAGTAGCGGGGGCAAAGTTTCCTAATCGGCGGTGTGGCAATTTTTCGTCAAGCCGCCCGAGGAAGTAAACGTAGCCGTATGTCGACTATGTGGCCAGAAAGTCAAGCGTGGCCAGGGGGCCCATGTTGGGACTACAGCGTTGCGTCAGCATATGCAGCGTCGCCATTCGGTGGCCTGGAAAAACCGTGATAAAGATACGGCGGTTCTGCCTGCCCCAGCCCCCGCTCCATCACCCGCTCCGTTACTTGCTCCGTCACCCGACGTCAATCGCCCTCTATCAGCCAGTCAAGGCTCCAACACCTCTGCTGAGGGGAGTTGTCGCTCGTTGGCATCTTCCGCTCGTTCAGATGCTCCTTCTCCTGCTACTCCTCTTCACGGATTCCGTCAGCAGTCTTTCTTGGAATCCGTTTCCAAGAGACAACAGTTTGCGAGCACGCACCCGACGGTGCAGAAGCTGAACGTCCTCCTGTCCAAGTTGCTGGTGCTGCAGTCCCTCCCTTTCCAAGTGGTGGACTCAGCACCTTTCCGAGAAATGATGGCTTGTGCCGAGCCGCGGTGGAGAGTGCCAAGCCGGCATTTCTTCGCCAAAAAGGCAGTGCCAGCCCTGCATTCACATGTAGAAGAGATGGTGGGCCAGTCTTTGAGCATGTCGGTCTCTGCCAAAGTGCACGGCAGCGCCGACGTGTGGAGCTGTAACTACGGTCAGGGACAGTACATGTCATTTACGGCCCACTGGGTGAACGTGGTGCCGGCACAGCCGCACCAGCAACTTGGACAGGTTCACGCCGCTTTTGCCTCCACGTTTGCACGTCCTTGGTCCAGCAAAGATGTCCGCCTCTACCACCTCTTCTTCCGCCGTGTCCTCAGCCACCACCCCCGTGCCAAGTCCCATTACCCGACCGGCATATCACATGTGCAGGGCGCAACGGTGTCACGCTGTGCTGCACCTGGTATGCCTTGGCGAACGTAGTCACACAGGGGAGGAACTTCTGAGTGTAATGAACAGAGAAATCGACAGATGGCTGTCTCCGCGCAAACTGAAAATCGGAACCATGTTGACCGACAACGGAAAGAACATGGTGTCTGCTCTGCGTCAAGGAAGGTTGTGCCATGCGCCATGCATGGCTCACGTGTTCAATCTGGTTGTCAAGCGGTTCCTAAACAAATCCACCATCCCACTGCAAGACATCCTTAAAATGTCACGTAAACTTTGCATGCATTTCAGCCATTCCTACACCGCAAAGCACACCCTCCTTGAGCTGCAGCGGCAGAACGGAATTCCACAGCATCGCCTGATCTGCGACGTTGCAACAAGGTGGAATTCAACCCTACATATGTTAGACCGCCTTTACGAACAGCGAAAGGCCATCACCGATTTCCTGATGTTACAAGCGGATAAAGGTACTCCCCTGTGTAACTTAGATGTCAGCCATTGGCAGCTCATGCGTGACACCTGCCGCTTGCTCAGGCCCTTTGAGGAGGCCACGCTATTCGTAAGTCGGCAGGACTATGGGATGAACGACGTCATTCCTCTGTTGCACGTCCTGGAACAAATGCTGTTAACAATGGCTGGTCAGGGTGCGGTAGACGTGGCGCACAGATCTCAACGCCACATGACCCCTGTGGGGGCAGGACAGGAAGAAGAGGAGGAGGTAGAGGAGGACATTGGTGCTCAGGAATTATTGAGTGAAATGGGTGGTTTTTCCACTCAGCGGACAGGAGTGGAGGAGCAGGAGCATCTGGTAGAGGAGGAGGAGGAGACAGAGGACCCAGACGACGCACCGTGGCAGTATGCTGTGGAGATGGAGGCAGGGAGTCCCTCGCATTCCTTGGCACAAATGGCCCATAGCATGCTCGGTTGCTTGCGTAGCGACAGCCGAATAATAACCATCAGACAGAGGGATGACTTTTGGCTGTCCACCTTGTTGGACCCTCGCTACCGTTCAAAAATGGTGGCCTTTTTCACACCTGCTGAGAGGGAGGCCAAAATAAAGTACTATAAAAACCACCTATGTAGTCAGTTGGTCTCTGCCTTTCTGCGCCAACGTCCATCCTCAGACACTGTGGGCCCTGTGCGCTCGCGTTCCGCTGCCATGGCAGCAGGGGGGGTGGGGTGGTAGGAGCAGTGGCAGCTCCACCAGCAGCGGCTGCCTCAGTCTGCAGTCGATGATGAGTAGCTTTCTTCACCAGCGCAGTGAGGAAACTGCTAACCAGCCGCAGCAGCAGCAGCATCAGGTGGACCTGGAGCAGGACCTCAAACAACAGGCTCGGGCCTACTTGGACAGCACCCTGCCAACCGAGGTAGACAATCCCCTTGACTACTGGGCAACGAAACTTGACCTTTGGCCCCAACTAGCTGAATTTGCCCTTGAAAGGCTGTCATGCCCGGCCAGTAGCGTGGCATCGGAGCGCGTGTTTAGTGCGGCAGGAGGTATTGTAACCCGTGGAGGACACGACTGTCCACCCAAAGTGTGGAGAGACTCACGTTTGTGAAAATGAATCAGGCGTGGATTAGTCTGGATTTCAAACCACCAGTTCCTGACACAACTGACTAAATCCGCCATGAAACATGCCCCAAACATGTTATTAATGGGTGCTGTATGGCCTTCCATTGCTGCTGCTTCCACCGCCACCCCCTCTGCCATGGGCCTTCTGTCTCGCTCATGCTGCTGCCTGGACTCCTTGATAGTCGTCTGACTATCATGGGAGTCCAATGGCAGAGTGGCGGAGCAGAAGCTGCTTCTCCATCGCCATACTCTGCCATGTGCCACTTTCAGGTCTCCTCACGAACTGCTGGTGGGTTCCTGCTTTTTGTCATAGGGTGGTAGAGACTGGTTTTGGCCTGCTTGCTGCTGCCAGGCCCATAATCTGCCCATGGGCCCTGCTTAATACCCACTCCCTGCTTTGCAACGATCCGTTAAGTGTGCAAACTCTGTCGTCTGCTCACGCTGCCTGATCAGCTTGCCAGCTTTTTAAAATGAGGTGTGGCGCATGGCTTCCGAATTGCTGCTGCCTCCACCGCCACACAGGCCCAGGTTAAAAAGCTCGAGTGTCTGCTCAGAGACACATGGCGCAGGACGGCTTGGAGCAGGCAGCACAATGCCTGGCCATGGCCTCCCACTGCTGCACAGGAGACCTGAAAGTGGCGCCATGGCAGAGTCTGGCGATGCCACGGTGCCATGTGCCACTTGAGGCTCCTACACTGACCCATGACACACTCTGGCCGCTTTTGCAGCATAGAGGTGCTGGCCAGGCCCATAAGTGGCTGCTAAGCAGCTTAACATTGAAGGCTGCCCGTAGCCTCCGGCCATGTTCACGACTCCCCCCAGCACGCAGCGTGGGGCGACTCATGTGCCGGCTTCCCGAACGCTGCTGCTGCCCTCCAGGGGCACAACATAGGCCTCTGTGCCTTTTCAGGTCTCCTGCTACGCTGGTGGGTTCCCACTTTGCCATGGGCCCCTGTATGGCCTCCTCATGCTGCTGCCAGGCCTGTAATCTGCCATGGGCCCCCCGTACCGACTCCTCATGCTGCTGCCAGGCCCGTAATCTGTCATGGGCCCCTGTACCGCCTCCTCATGCTGCTGCCAGGTCCAGAGTGTGTCATGGGTCCCTGTACGGCCTCCCATTGCTGCTGTCCTCCATCGCCACACTCTGCCATGTGCCACTTTCAGGTCTCCTCACACTGCTGGTGGGTTCCATTTTGTCATAGGGTGCTGTATGGCCTCCCATTGCTGCTGCCTCCATCCCCACCCTGCGCCATGTGCCCTGTCGTCTGCTCACGCTGCTGACGGCTTCCGCTTTTTAACCAAGGCCTGTGTTTGGCTTCCGAATACTGCTGCATCCACCGCCACCCTGCGCCATGTGCCTCTGTCGTCTGCTCATGGGCTGCTGACGGCTTCCGCTTTTTAACCTAGTCCTGTGTATGTCTTCATAATACTGATTACTGCCTCCCCACCGCCACCCTGCACCATGTGCCACTTTCAGGTCTCCTTACACTGTTGGTGGGTTCCATTTTGTGATAGGGTGCTGTATGGCCTTCCATTGCTGCTGCCTCCACCGCCACCCTGCGCCATGTGCCTCTGTCGTCTGCTCACGCTGCTGACGGCTTGCTTTTTGACCGAGGCTTTCCGAATACTCTCCTCACCACCGCCACCCTGCGCCATTTGTCTCTGTCGTCTGCTCGCTGCTGACGGCTTCGCTTTTTGCTGCTAGGCCTGTGTATGGCTTCCTGAATACTGCTGCCTCCACCGCCACCCTGCCATGTGCCTCTGTCATCTGGTCACGCTGCTGACGGCTTCCGCTTTTTTAACCGAGAGGCCTGTGTTTGGCTTCCGAATACTGCTGCATCCACCGCCACCCTGCGCCATGTGTCTCTGTCGTCTGCTCACGCTGCTGACGGCTTCCGCTTTTTAACCTAGGCCTGTGTATGGCTTCCGAATACTGCTGCCTCCACCGCCACCCTGCGCCATGTGCCACTTTCAGGTCTCCTTACACTGTTGGTGGGTTCCATTTTGTGATAGGGTGCTGTATGGCCTTCCATTGCTGCTGCCGTACCGCCTCCACCGCCACCCTGCGCCATGTGCCTCTGTCGCCTGCTCACGCTGCTGACGGCTTCCGCTTTTAATACCGAGGCCCCTGTTTGGCTTCCGAATACTGCTGCATCCACCGCCACCCTGCTGCCATGTGCCACTGTCGGTCTCCTCACGCTGCTGGTGGCTTCCGCTTTTTAACCTAGGCCTGTGTATGGCTTCCGAATACTGCTGCCTCCACCGCCACCCCCTGCGCCATGTGCCTCTGCCCGTCATCTGCTCACGCTGCTGACGGCTTCCGCTTTTTAACCTAGGCCTGTGTATGGCTTCCGAATACTGCTGCCTCCACCGCCACCCTGCGCCATGTGCCTCTGTCGTCTGCTCACGCTGCTGACGGCTTCCGCTTTTTAAACTAGTCCTGTGTATGTCTTCCGAATACTGCTGCCTCCTGCCCCTGCGCCATGTGCCACTTTCAGGTCTCCTTACACTGTTGGTGGGTTCCATTTTGTGATAGGGTGCTGTATGGCCTTCCATTGCTGCTGCCTCCACCGCCATCCTGCGCCATGTGCCTCTGTCGTCTGCTCACGCTGCTGACGGCTTCCGCTTTTTAACCGAGGCCTGTGTTTGGCTTCCGAATACTGCTGCATCCACCGCCACCCTGCGCCATGTGTCTCTGTCGTCTGCTCACGCTGCTGACGGAACTTCCGCTTTTTAACCGAGGCCTGTTTGGCTTCCGAATACTGCTGCCTCCATCGCCCACACTGCCATGTGCCCTGGCCTCTGTCATGCTGCTGCGTTTCCTCCGCCTGGGGGCCTCCCATTGCTGCTGCCAGGCCCGTAATCTGCCATGGGCCCCCGTACCGACTCCTCATGCTGCTGCCAGGCCCGTAATCTGTCATGGGCCCCTGTACCGCCTCCTCATGCTGCTGCAGGTCCAGAGTGTGTCATGGGTCCCTGTACGGCCTCCCATTGCTGCTGTCTCCATCGCCACACTCTGCCATGTGCCACTTTCAGGTCTCCTCTCACACTGCTGGTGGGTTCCATTTTGTCATAGGGTGCTGTATGGCCTCCCATTGCTGCTGCCTCCACCGCCACACTGTGGCTCCACACTCTGGTTTTGGCCCCGTGACTGCCCAAATGAGTGAAGTGTGCGGTGATTCTAAGATCGACGGCACTCATCTGCATGTCATACTGACTGACAGTATTATTTCTCTTCCCCCAGCAGACTCCAAGGGCATTTAAATTAAAGGTACAGTGTTCTGCACTAATATAAAGGCTCTCTGAAGCCTAGAAACACCCTTTTTATAAGTTAAATTCGCAGCGAATATATTCGCCTCGAATCGAATTTATTCCGCGAATTCGGCGAATCAGCCGAATCAAATTTTTGAATAATTCGCTCATCTCTACTTCAGACCATCCAATCAAATACAGGTACATTATTTTTACCTTAACTCAACAATTATTTGTATGAGATTTGCATTTACACTTTTCTGCCTTATCTTTCACACCATATCTGGTCTAACGCCCAGACCATGGCTATAATTTGGCCCAATGCCCAAGCTGTAGTTACAACTTTTCAGAAATTAGAGTAAAGGTTATCCCCTTTTTTTGTAAAGTTTGCAAAAAACACTTATTTCTACATAAAGATGGCATAGACAGTTTTGTTAGTGTGTACAAAGTTCATATACATGTGTATATTAAACAAGCATCTTGTATTACAGTAGTGTATACAAAATGGATTTGGTTATATTCCATTAATCCTTTCACTTGCAGCTTATGAAAATTGATGGGACGCATGAGATGGGACATGGGGATGTATGCTAAGGGCCCAGTCACACGATTCCTTTGCCAAAACACATCCACAATTTGCACTATTTTTGTGTAATTGAAAAATATAAGTAATATAGGCCAGTTAGCCCTCAATGCTAATGCAGGATGCAGAAGAGCATCATTTAATTTTGGCTTCCGTCCCTCATTTCTTTAAACTGTCAGATGCTCTCTTGGCAAATGACAGCTGCTAAGGAGAGCAATAAAAATGAACCAGAAGAGTTAGAAATTTTCCTACACAGCCTTCCAATGACTACATGTTTGCTAGGCATAATCCAACATTGGCTAGAGGTTCTGAAGCCAATATATCTAGATGAATATCTGCTTTTAATGAACACGCAGCAAATTCATGTTAGTTGTTCTGAAAATGATTGTGTTAGCCTTGGTGAAAAGATTTGACTATAATTTGTTTTTGTTATATACTTGTAGTTTATACAGCATTATATACTAACAGCAATAGAAGCAACCTTTGACTGCTACCCCTTTATATCATCCATTTATGTAAACATGACACGTCAAATAAGGTAACTTAAAATCTCATATATATGAATACACATTAAAATTGAAACTTATAAAAATTCTTGGCCAAGGAATAATTACAGTGACAAAACTGGTGCCACAATGCCTTTAAAGCAATACAAATAATATATTAAATTATACAGTAATATAATATAACATAATTAAACAGTCCAGCTAAGTAATTTCATAAGCATATGTAGACCATAGAAAGCTTGTAGTGTTACCTTCAAGCAGGTAAAGAAGTCTATAGTGATCCTGTTGTGGTGCACTATTTCCAAAATTCTGCTGAGAAAGGGCTGGATGCAATTGTAGCAGTTTGCCAAACAGGGCTATGGTGTTCAGCAATATATACTCCGAGAAGCAGTGCTGTTTGTCAGTGAGAACATGGGGGAACACAGCTCTGGCACCTCCAGCACTGAATGTATGTAATGGCAAGGAGTGCTGGGCTGTGCTAGAGGGTCTATTTATGCTGGCTGCTGGGGGATCTATTATCACTGGTGAAGATCTATTTTTGCGTGGGGGTCTGTTGTTGCCATTAGGATTATAGTCATGTTTGCTGACAAAATGTCTGACCACCGGACTGACAAAATCTCCTCCTCGTACATCATTACCATGGTCTCAAATTCGTTCGCAAAACTTCCTCTTTGTTTTTCCAATGTAAAATGCATTACATGGGCATCTAAGTATACAATTCCAACCATCTGACAGGACACAGGATGTCTACCTTTCCATCTTTTCCCATTTGGTAAGATAGTCTCTGAATTTTTTTCCACAAATCTGCAAAAACCACAATTACAACATCTAAATGTGCCAAGTGGTAATCCCATACATGGGTCACCCGCTCCACCTGTTTCATAGTGACTTCTAACAACCATATCTCTAAAAGACCTATTTTTTCTGAAAGATAATTTTAGGGACTTTGTCCACCATTTCACCTAATATTTCATCGTCTGCTAAGATATGCCAGTGTTTAGCCATTATCTTCCTAATATCCTCTAATATCCTATATGCTGACACAGAAACTTAAAAAAGCTAGATTGGAGTTTGCCAAAACTTACCCGAGCAAGCCAAAATCCTTTTGGAAGAATGTGATGTGGACAAAATTACAGCTTTTTGGTAAAGCCCATCATTCTACTAGAAATGAAGCCTTTGAAGAAAAGAATACAGTTTCTACAGTCAAACATGGTGGAGGTTCACTGATGTTTTGGGGTTGTTTTGCTGCTTCAGGCACTGGATGTCTTGAACGTGTGTATGGCATTATGAAATCTGAAGACTACCAAAGAATTCTGGGGGGCAATGTAGGGCACAGTGCCAGAAAGTTGGGTTTTCATCAGAGGTCATGGGTCTTACAGAAGGACAATCACCTAAAGCGCACGTCAAAAAGCACCCAGAAATGGTTTCAGACAAAGCGCTGGAGAGCACTGAACTGGCCAGCAACGAGTCCAGATCTCAATCCCAGAGAACACCTGTGAAGAGATCTCAGAACAGCAGTTGGGAAAAGGAATCCTTCCAATCTGAGATACTTGAAGCAGTTGGTGAAGGAAAAGTGGTCCAAAATTCCAGTAGAGAGGTGTAAGAAACTCATTGATGGTTACAGGAGAGATTGATTTCAGTTATATTTTTCCAAGGGGTGTGTTACAAAATATTAAACTGAGGGTGCCAATGATTTTGTCCAGTCCATTTTTGGCGTTTTGCATGGAATGTGTCAGATTTGGCTTTTTGTCTCTCCACTTTTTTGTGTCATACCAATACAAATTAAAGAAATAAACATGAAAATGCTTAAACATTTGTAATTGCAACAATTTTCTGGGTGAAGTGGTGTATTATCTGACAGAAATGCAGCGGTGCCGATATTTTTGACATGATTGTAGAACCACCAGAAGCAGATGTGGTAACTCATATATATGTAAATGGAACAGTGGGATAGCAGTCCAGGTAGTTGATTAATCTGAAGCATATTCCAATCCTCAGGATGTGCTGACAACAAAAACCAAGACAGGTAGACTTGAGTGCCATATCAATCAACTGGTAACTCCACTAACAGTGATACATACAAACAGTCCATTCACAATTACAGATAGAAATACAATGCTCCACTCGGTTTTGCTGTATAACATATAGCCCAAGTATAAAGATAGCCCTCAGCAAATATATATGTATATATATATATATATATATATAGTATATACTGTATATACTGCTCAAAAAAATTAAAGGAACACTTCAAAAACACATCAGATCTCAATGGGGGTAAAAATCATGCTGGATATCTATACTGATATGGACTGGGTAATGTGTTAGGAACATACGGAATCCCCATCGTTTGATGGAAATGAAAATTATCAACCTATAGAGGACTAAATTCAAAGGCACCCCAAAAATCAAAGTGAAAAAATTATGCAGCAGGCTAGTCCATTTTGCTGAACTTTCATTGCAGCAACTCAAAATGGTATTCAGTAGTTTGTATGGCCCCCATGTACTTGTATGCATGCCTGACAATATAAGGACATGCTCCTATTGAGAAAATAGATGGTGTCCTGGAGTATTTCCTCCAAGATCTGAACCATGGCATCAATGTGCTCCTGGACAGTCTGAGGTGCAACCTGGCCGGGTCGGTGCTCTATTGGATTTAGGTTAGGGTGAGTGTGGGGGCCATTCAATGGTATTAATTCCTTCATCCTCCAGGAACTGCCTGCACACTATTGCCACATAAGGCCGAGCATTGTCGTGCACCAGCATAGGGTCCGACTATGGATCCAAGGATTTCATCCCGATACCTAATGACAGACAGGGTGCTATTGTCTAGCCTGTAGAGATCTGTGTGTTCCTCCATGGATATGCTTACCCAGACCATCACTGACCCACCACCAAAACGGTCATGCTGAACAATGTTACAGGCAGCATAACGTTCTCCACAGCTTCTCCTGACCCTTTCACGTCTGTCACATGTGCCCGGGGTGAACCTGCTCTCATTTGTGAAAAGCACAAGGCGCCAGTGGCGGATTTGCCAATTCTGGTGTTCAATGGCAAATGCCAATCGAGTTCTATGGTGACAGGTAGTGAGCACAGGGCCTATTAGAGGATGTCGGAACCTCGGGCCACCCTCATGAATTCTGTTTCTGATTGTTTGGTCAGAGACATTCACACCAATGGCCTGCTGGAGGTCATTTTGTAGGGCTCTGGCTGTGCTCATCCTGTTCCTCTTTGCACAAAGGAGCAGATATTGGTCCTGCTGATGGGTTAAGGGCCTTCTATGGCCCTGTCCAGCTCTCCTAGAGTGACTGCCTGTCTCCTGGAATCTCCTCCATGCTCTTGAGACTGTGCTGGGAGACACAGCAAACATTCTGGCAATGGCTTGTATTGATGTGCCAGTCCTCAAGGAGCTGGACTGCCTGTGCAACCTCTGTAGAGTCCAGGTATCACCTCTTAAAAGATGAGTAGGGAAAAAATGTCAGTAGTCTCCATTTGTAAAAACCATTTCTGTTTTGGGGGTCATCTCATTGTTGCCCATCTAATGCACCTGTTGTTAATTTCATTAACACCAAAGCAGCTGAAACTGATTAACAACCCCCTCTGCTACTTAACTGACCAGATTAATATCCGAGGAGTTTAGTTTACTTGATGCTATACTCTTATTAAAAAGTGTTCCTTTCATTTTTAATTATTTTTTTCTAATATATACTGTATATGTAAGTGCAGCAGCAGGAATCACAATATATACTTATCCATCCATGAAGCTACCATTGGCCCAGTGTCAAAAGAGCCTGGCCAGTTTCACCAGGCACCTGCCAATTGCATCAGAGGCAAATTGGAATAGTGCACTGCTTGTATTGCTTTAGAGGCATCTTTGTCACTGTAGTTATTCCTTGGCCAATGATTTTTTTATATGCTTCAGTTTTATATGTATATTAGATTTTAGGTTACTTT